AGCAGATCAAAACCACTCAATTCAACCGGTTCGCCAGATCCGTGTGAACAGAGAGAAATTATTTAACTTTTCCGTGGAAAATAAAATTACTTGCTCCGTGTTTAAATGACCGCGCTAACTTCGCTGAGCCCTTTTCATGAATGGTATTCAAAAAAAACTTTTTTAAAACATGGACTTTACAAATATATGGAATACCAAACACTAACACAACAAAAATTAACGTTTTAAATATCTTTAAATATATAATTTTTTATTAATATAGCAATAATTCATTATAATAAAAGTTTTCTTGCAATGGAAAAATCATGATCGCAAAGCATGAGCAAGGCAACACTTTTATCTCAACTTACACATTTATATTTAAGTAAAAACATAATCACTTTCATGCCTGCTGCGCTGCCAAGATTTTTCTCGTTGTAATGTCAAAGGGTTTTAATGTTTTGTTCGTTTATAATAAAACAATTTTAGAAACTTCCTCGGAAATCTTAAGCAACATGGTAAAATCTTCAACGTTCTCGACAAATCACAACCGTTCGTACACACTTTTAACGTTAGTTCAAAGGATGTTGGAAAATCTCCGAATTTTTTTTGTAGAGACAGCAATATGTACATTTACAGGAATAAGAACCCCTCCTTCACTTTCGGATCTTTACGGGCGACGTTCTCGCTAAAATGTTCGTAGTTATGTCGAGGACAGCCCTTTTTAAAGCCAGCCGTAGAGTAAGTGTTCAAGGGGAAGAGGGGTTGGGAGAACGCTCTTTCCGCACTCGCTCTCTTCCCTACCTACTCCTGCCCCCGACAGCTTGCTCGCAGGCTACGTAAAGATAAAACGCATACAAAGTAAGACATTTACCGCTCTCCATACCAAAACGATGTGGACTTTCAACTAAACCTATCAAATAAATATCCGTTTACATCGTTCCGCTCCCCGTGTAATCGGGAAACAGCAGCCACATAAGTCTGCAAGCATTTACTGTCTTCAAACAGATTTGTACATACATACATAGCTGACATGATGCTAGGAAAACTGAGAACCTCGGGGATCACTCGTTACCAGCGTATCTTGAAACACAACACCACCACACTCGCTTGTATCCACCTCTATCCGCTTACGGACTCGTTGATCATTTTGGCTTGTGCAGAAACCGCAGAGCAAGATATGTCAACACTCTGAAGACGACGATATACAGTAAGAGTGCTGCAATATTCTCACCCACAGTTCTGGAAACGTTCAGTTTTTCCAGCACTTCACTGCCCTGGATGATGGTACCGTTGTTCCTACAACCCGCGTACGACGAATCCAGCGGTGCACAGCTAAACAAGGCAGGAAAGAGAGAAGAGACAGACATTGTTAAAATAGAAACCATTTAACTGGACTTTTGGCAAAATCACTTAGTCTATTATACTCAATTACGATAAATTTTAAGACACCTAATACTTATTTTTTTTTGTAAAAAGTGAAGAATGTTCCCAGAAGCACAAGGACAGCAATTTCCGGTCTCTTAAGAATCAAATCAGTAACAATTATTGCACGAGGTTGAGCAAAATATCGTGATTTGTAAGTGGCCAGCGATCAGTTATTTGGCTGAGGCAAATAATTGATCTGCGAGACACCGGCAAATCACGATATTTTGCGATGACCAAGTTCAATACTTGTTTCATCATTCGATCACCGAGTTTGACTTTTAATGAATAAAGTCATGGATTGGAAGCGATATGCCATTTTCACCCAGCAGCGATCGCAAGAAGGAGGAAAGCGTGGTTTTTATTTACGCATGAGCAGAATATTATTCGCAGCCAAACAAAGTTAAACGACATTGCGTACAAGCAGACCATTATTTGTAGGCAGTTATTTGCAGGTCACGTGGTGGGCTGTCGGCCAATGAAAAGGAAGAAATATTTGCATCGAATGATAATCTGTGTTGCTTTTGCTGAACACCACCTTTCGTCGTATTCTCCGGTACCTTTCCGTGAAATTTACTCCATGGTTCACCAACATTGTTACAGAACTAGGCATTTGTAATCTTCAAGAAGCAAAAAAGCGGTAATTTTAATTTGCAAAAGGCAATTTCCTTTGTCAGGATATATCAAACGCCAACTTTTAAAGTGAACTTACCAGTATGAAACTCCCAAGAACTCAGTCACCTTATTTACAAGATTAAAAGCTTTGCAAAACAAATTCGCAATGTCAAACACTGCGAAAAAAGGGTGCGCGAGGAAGGAAGAAAGGTTTCAAAAGGTTCCCTTCCTTCTTCCTTCGTCGCGTATTCATCATTATGATCTCGCGCGCTTCAATTCTCCCCTTCCCCCTCCCCCTTAAATGCAAATCACACAGACTAGCCAAATAAGGAACTAACGGCAAATCAGGCCATTCCTTTAGAGTCTAATATACACACCTGAACGTTGGGGAAGTAGAGAACTCTATTGAAAGAAGAGCATCATAAGAATAAAACAGGTAAGCAAAGTACTGAAACCAAGATAACCAAGGCGGTATGTTCTGCTGATAAAATCCACCCGAAAGCATACAGCTGAGACCATACACTGCTGCTACAACTATTGACTTCTTGAAGTCCATCACAGTAGCGCCAATACACAGACCTACAGACTATGAAACAACAGAAATGAGAAATATATAAAGGATATTACATGGCCGCGCGGAGATTACAAATATCTCTTCGCGTATTGAAAAATATTTCACGAGGGAGCGCACTATTTATTATAATTATAAACACCAATGAAATACCACATGATTCACTTTTATATATATATATTTTTTTGCAGCAAAAGTTGCAGTTATACACAATCCACCATCCCCAACCCCAACTTTTGTTTTACTTTTGATTGTGTCTCTCTTAAAACATTGAATCACTGACAATTACACGACTATTTATGATAACAGCTGTCTGCATGGCTGGTGTAATTATGATTAAATTTTGACCCTGCTTGCCATAGAGCTTCCAGTAGGTCAGTGGTAAGAGCATCCGAACTAGAACTCGGTGGGTCGTTGGTTCGATTCTCACGATTTCGAAATTTTTTCTGAGTTCTCTTGTGTTAGAATTCTCCTTCTTCCAAATCATTTATTAAGGATAACATATAAAGGATATTTCATGGCCGCGGGAAGATTAGAAATATCTTTTCGCGTGTTGAAAAATATTTCACGAGTGAGCGCACTATTTATTCACTGATTTATTATAATTACAAATATCAATGAAATGCCACATCATTTCACTTTTATATTTTTTTGTAGCAAAAGTCGCAATTACACACAATCCACTATCCCCAATCCCAACTTTTGTTTTACTTTTGATTGTGTGTGTCTTAAAACATTGAATCACTGACAATTACACGACTATTTCTTTATAACAGCTGTCTGGTGTAATTATGATTAAATTTCGACCCTGCTTGCCATAGAGCTTCCAGTAGGTCTATGGTACGTAAGAGCATCCGAACTAGAACTCGGAGGGTCGTGAGTTCGATTCTCAAGATCTCGAAATTTTTTCTGAATTTTCTGGTGTTACAATTCTCCTTCTTCCAAATCATTAATTTTATTAAGGATAAACATCACTGCATATACCTGTCCTGCAATGGCGGTTAATAAGAGAAGAAGGAGAGATAACAGGAAAGCCTCGCTTCTGTTCAGTCCCGCCATCCAATACACAACGGTTAAGAACAACGTGGGCATGAAAATAACCAGCGGTAACTCACTGAAGAGCTTGGCTAAATAGTACGCAGACAGCCTGTAATAGCCAGCGGCTCTTTCTTTATTAACCACTGTCCGTTCATTTGGAACTGAAAATCATTAAAAACAAAAAGTACAGGTAAATGGGAGAAAAGTATGAAAACTAGATCGACATTTTGTTTTCCTTAATTATACACTATTTTTGAAACTTGAGTTTGTGGCTAATTTTCTCATCAATATCACTATGATGACGTTATTAATAACCACAGGATACCCACATAAATGGACAGAACAGTTCACAGTTCTGCTTCCCAGGATAACAACCTCAATGTCAAGCAAAACTTTACTAGCACTTTTCAAGGAAACTTAGGCAAGTAGACAGACCTTCACGGGTAAGGAAGACATGACGTGGGGAAAATAAACTGAATGAACATGTGTAATATATTATACTGTTGCTGCAAAACTTGGAAAGAACAGTCACATGTCTGACTACACTTTATACATTATGTAGGAAGGCCACCTTCACAATACCCAGCGTACCAACACATCTGAACAACAAATCTGCCGTTGAACAATTTCAAACGGCGATATACATGTACACGTTTTGTAAACTTACATGAGATAAGAGATTGGAACAGTGGAGTGAAATTCCAGTAAACCACAATAAAGAATATCTATAAGGAGGCCAAAAAAACAGACCATTAATGGTGGAAACACATTTAGACCATTCGCTGACAGAGTTCAGGAGGTGATTCACCAAAACTCACAAGTCAGTGCTGATTTTATGACACAAGAATCCTCAACTATAAAAATATTTCACTGTTTTTGGATTATAAAAGATTTTTCCTTACGATTCATATTTAATAGACAAAAATAGTAAATAAATTGGCAATGGTAAAAGTTTAAGGGCCTGTTTACATGGGGGTAGGGGACCCCACAAAGGAAAGGTAACCCAAATACGTGCAGGTGGGGTAACCCGCCTGTCCATATAATCTCTCATATGGTCACCCCACCTATCATGTAAATGCAATCAAATTAAAATGAGAGATTATATGGACAGGCCAGTTACCTCGCATACCTGGGGTATCCCACCGCCACATAAACCGACCCTAAGATGAGTTAAAAATTGACATTTTGGATTGGTGAGAACCTGTTGTTTTAACAAACTATACTTAGTCTGAGTGTAACTTATCGCCAATGTACACACACGCCATCCCACCCCAAACACTATAAACTTTGAAAATGAAATTATCTCTTACGAGTACTACTACCAAAGTGCGAAAAAACAAAACAAAGCAAAGCAAGCACAAACAAATAAGAGAAAACCACATACCAATGAATATCTATCCCGGATACTCTCCTCTTTGTAAGGTACCTGGAACCAGATGACCCCAGCTATAATAGCTAAAAGCGTGCTCTATTAGAAACAAAATAGGAATTCATAAATTATTAGGATTTCAATATTAGGCATCTGATGGGTTTTAATCGCACATACAAAGCCAGCTGAGGCACTAGTTTTGTTGTGTGCAACTATCTCTTCTCACCTGTACAAAATTCAGCTTGGAAAGAATATCTGGCTTGGACTGTTTGAATGTGCGCACAAGTAGAACAGAGAACTGCGTCCAGAAACTTGTGGCCCATGATGTAGAAATATCAGTGTAAAGAGCGGAATGATCTACTTCATCATCATGATCATGAACATCAATCTTAGTGTAATCCTGTGATGTGCTACGCTTGTAAGTGACAACAGCGACATTAAAGTCCGCAGATGACACACGTGCTTCAGTGTGTACCGGCTTAGGGCCATCGTCTGATAGTTTACTCAGCGATCTTTTGAAACCTTTCCAGGATGTTTTTGAAGAAGACGCTTTGGGGTTTTGAATGAGAGGAACAGAGCTTTGGTTAGCTTCAGATTCGACATTTCCATTAGGGATCAGGGCATTTTCTATGTCACGTGAAGGCTCTGTGCTGCTAATATCTCTTGGGGAATCAACCTTAGAATAAAGTGACTCCGATGACGAACTTGATTTACTGTGATTATCTTGTGTAATGGCCTGTTCTGTTTCTGCTGATTTTTCTGAAATGTCTTGTGTACTTCCAACTTTCAGATTAGTTTTATCCAAAGGTGCCTTCTCAGTGGTGTCTGCATCTTTTTCACTGGATTTTTCAGGGTTAGGGCTTGGAGTGTCAAGTCTTGAAACTTCATGACTTGGAGAAGACGATGCTAAGTATTTTTGATGCCTCCTTTTTCTGAACATGAAAAGAAATTATTTTAATAAACATACATTGCATAAAGAAAGAGATTTTAGCCTACAAATTAGCCCTTATTTTCTTTCTTTTTATGTCATTTTACTTGATTGTGTTTTTAAGAGGAGCACAGGCAAGCGCGAGGCGGTGATCCCTTGGCGCATGTTTTGCACCACATGCCCGCCTCTCGCTTGCTTTTTTCTCGCCTGAAAAGGGCAAAAATAAATAAATAAATACTGTTGAACCTCCAAGTGTGCCCCCCTCTCGTAAGGGACCACCTCCCATAAACAACCACCTATCCAAAACACCAAAATTTTCCCAGTCAAAGCCCTCTCATAAGAATTTCTCGTAAACGGCCGCTGAGCATCTCTTACATTGTACTGAGCTTAAGAAGATGGCAGCAGTTACACAGATGATTGATTGCATGAGGTATATCAAAAGGCAAAGTTACTGTTCTCTAGCTGAGAAGAGTCTATAATGTCTTGAGAATGTGTATAACGGAAGCCATGTGTGAGTTCTTGAGTTCGACTTCATTGCCGAGTCCTTCAAAAGTGGATTTCAAACCTCTGCTGAACAACACTGTCTCCTAATTGTGATATCTCAAAGTACATTCTGATTGCATTGACCACATTTACCGGGTTGCAGGTTCTAGTGCCGCATGTTAAGGACTTACCTCTCAGCCCAACCTTTCACAATCATTTCTTGAATTTTCTCTCCTTCCGTCACCTTCTCCACTGAAAACAATTTTTTAAAAAACAATATTCAATTTAATGCATATATTAATGAATGCCTTCCACCATTATTTTGTACACTCCTTCACCATTTATCCATTCACCTGGGAAATTTTGCCGCAAAATAATTATCATTTGAAGCTACTGATCGAGCTGTTTTCTGGCCACTATCCCACCAAAAGGAACAAAACTGCCCAAAATGTTGTTTGCAAGTCAAGTGCGTAGAGGTTAAAAATTGGGTTTTATTAACTGAGGTAGGTAGATTGGTCACCGTAGGGATGGGAAGGGGGGAGGGGGGTGGTTGGACAGCTGATGTTTCAAGCATCTGCCCTTTGTCAGAGCAAATCTGTATCGACTGAGTTGATAAAGCCAAGTTTGTTAAATAGAATAGACATATTGTAGATGTATAAAGTAGCTGGCAGGATCAGAGTACAGGACTACTTTTTAGCAGTGACAGTGAGATTCATGTGAGTGGTTCGTAGCCTCTGTACAGTCGTCCCCATTTGAGGGGAGGGATTGGCTGTTCACAGGCTGGTGATTTGCCACCAGGGAAAATCAATCAATTTGGCTATTTTCCATTCTTCTTGCACATTTACAGCTTAAATACAATATTTTCAGTGTATAAACAGTACTTACATATAAAGTCGGCAGGGTTGAAGTGGGCATCACATACCAGACCAACACTCTCAAAAAAATTAAGAACTCGACTGGCTTTTCCATAAAAAGCCACCTGATAACAAACACAAACAAGGAATAAAACATCAGTCACAACTCTGATAAAGCACAATTAAAATACTAATATGAGCCCAACAGGTACGCGCACTTTCAAAATAACTCGAAAATTAATTTGCCCTGATCTACATTTTGTACACATTACAATTTTGGATCAGTTATTAAGCATTTAAGCATAATTATGCAGTTTAAATGGGCTGTCATGGCCGGCTGGCTAGTTTATAAATTTTCATTTATAATGCTTATTACAAGTGTTCAAATGTTAAAACAACAAAAATGAACTTTGACAAACTGTTAGGCTAGTGCACTGTAAGTTTTCAAAACCCACAATTGCAATCCATTTCAATCTTCCTCAAATTTGTCCATCTATTTGCTGTGTTATTTATACCGTTTTATAATATTTTTTTAGTCAGTTATTTTGATGTTTCACTAAATTTGGTACTGTTCCCAATGTTTAAATTTTGATTATTTCATAACACAGCTCCCTTTCAAGATCTTTGTATGCTTATAATGTTTTTGTCTCGAGAATTTGCATTTGTTTATTATTACCTGTCCTCCGCAGAGCAATAGAAGCTTGTCAAACATATAGAAGATCTGACTTGATGGCTGATGAATTGTAGTTACAACTGTCTTTTTTTCTCTGGCGGCATAATTCTTCAAAGTCTTTACCAGGTTTAATGCATTGCTGGAATCTAACCCAGATGTTGGCTCCTATTGTAACATGAGTAGAAAGACATTATTTTACACTGTAATTACAGTGGTCCAACCCAGATAAATGGATATGGGAGGGACATAGTGTCCGTATTTTCCTACCGTCTATATTAAGCAGTCTGCCAGAAAAAAACATCACGGACACTAGCATTATTCAATGCTTTTGCAGGCTCAGGAAAAATTGAATAATAATATATCATGGCAAGGAGCCCTAAAAAACAGAGCAGATGGCGTATTGCATTAAAAAGATGGCAAAATTGAAAGGAAAAAGGTAATTTAATGACAGGATAGTCAAAACACCTGAATGACAACCAGACATGAAAAAAGATGCATTACTAAATGAATGTGCTCAGTATACAGCATTTTTTAGTGAAAACTGCTCTGTAGGGCTAGACTGTGTTAATGATTCTCAATGTTTTGCAACCCACATCAGTGAATTATTACAATCCACAGAGGATAATTTTCACTGGGAAAAGATGAACTTCGAAAGCTTAAAGAGGGGTAACTACTAACACCTAAAGATTATACATGTATATAGCCTTTTACAGGTATATATGTAATTTATGACTAGAACAAACTATCTTTCTGGAATGAACTTGTCCTTATACATACGTACAAGTCATGTATGCAAAATGTAATCGTGCATAAGATATATTGTAATCATGGAACTTACGCAGCTACATGTACATACATTTACATTTTGTGTATACCATTAATGATTATGTGTTCTTTATTTCATTTAACTTATTTTCTCAACTTACATCAAGGAAGATCAAGGAAGGGTTGGTTATCAGCTCACAACCAATGTTAGCACGCTTTTTCTCCCCTAAAAAACAGCATTAAAAAGAAAATTTCAATTAGACACAAAGCACAGATGTATAGTGTATGAATAAATTTTCACGTCATTAAATTTCATACATGTCATGTTATCATCATAAAAAAAACAACACCGAGCAAATAAGACCCCAAGTAGGAGGAAATTACTTTTATTCACTGATTAACTTTAAGTTTGTTTTCTACTTCTCGTATTTTCAGAACTGGGAAACATGTTTATTGACTTCTTTGAAGAACACTGTCATATCATCAAGATACTGACGTAGCAGTCATTCTAAGAAAGTTGATCACATACCTCCAGATAATCCACGCTCAAAAGGGCTTCCAATTTCTACAACATTAACAAAGTACAGTTACTAACAAAGACCAAGACTAGTTCACACAATCAAACTCCACATGCAACCTCCACAATTTGTGGGCTAACAATAGGAAAGTAATTTCTTTTGGACAGAGAATACGCCATAACATCAAAAAAATTTCTATGCGGAGCTTCTGATGATTAAAATTATTATCATCTGATGGTGCCATTTTCAACCACAATATTGATCTCAAACACATCCAGTAGCATAATCTACAAGACATGTATTGTCCAACAAAATAACATACAAAAATGCCAAATTGCAATGTAAGGGTATTTTGCTATGTAATTATCATGATTGTTCAGCTCCTGAAATTTTCTTGTTGTCCGCGAAAGTAGGGAATACTCTCCAAGCAAAGAAATCACACGCATGTAAAATTAGACCTTTTTTTGCACAATATGACTTTACTAGAAGTTCATCACAATAAATTAACCAATATTTTATGCACTCAATCACAGGACCTATCTGTGTGTACTCACTTGTATCCAAGCATTTTCTGACATCTAAGTTGTCAACAATTTGGTCAACCTGAATGCAAAAAAGATTAATATTAATTTTGTAATTCCTATAATTTTTTGACACAGTTCCCTAGAAGAATGCTTCTTAAGAAGCTGGCAGAACATAATGTTATCACCAGGTTTACAATAATTATTATGGTAACACGTTTTACTGAAACAAAGTCATATACCGTAAACTTCCGAATTTAAGCCATGGGCTTAAACAATTTTCATGAGGGGTTCTAGGAGGGCTTATAAATGGATGGGTGGGGGAGGGGGAGGGGCTTGTAACCAGACTAAAAATGTGTTCCAAAGCATGCTACATCAGCAGTGCCTTTTAAGCTTCAAAATGCCATAAAAAGTCTAAATCCATTTCAATACAAGCTAGAGGGGGGCTTACAATGTACATTGGGGGGAGGTGGGGCAGGGGACTTATAACCAGATGTATTTTTTGTTTACAAGAAGATGGGCTTATATTTGGGGGGGGGGGGCTTATACCTGTAAATGGAGGGGGGGTAATAATTTGAAGTTTACAGTAACTTGAAAGAGATTGTTAAACTATTGAAAAGCTGGCATTTTGAGAACTAGACCACTTCAACGACAGACTGGCTTTATGCAAGCTCTGCTGAGTAATTCAGGCACTAGTTGCTACAACTAATGTCAGACATGCTAACTTCTGGTATTAAAAAAGGGATTTGGCTGAGACATTAGCCATTAAGTCTAGCAACTGGTCCCAGTATAGTAAACAGTGAACCAAAGCCACATACATGTATTTCTTGCCCTGCATGGCCTTGCAAAACCAGGAGAGAATATTGTGCAAGGCAGTATAGCTGTTTCCATTATCCAGTTTATTTAAAAGACTTGTAAAATGTTTATTCTTTATTCCAAAAACATACCTTTTGTAACTTGTCAGCCTTTGACAAAGTATCTGGTAGGCGAAGCATTGCTGAAAACTAAAATATAAATTGAATTGGTTGTAAAAAGTTATTCAAGTGTAAAAATAGATTATAAAGTAATTTTTGCATCTAAACCATCACCATCAGTAATGTAACTACAGTAACTGTAGCTTTTTTAAAGAATTCTCACACTAAAGTTCATGAATTGACAACCAATTGATTCTTTTTTCTTTTCATTGTAAAATAAATTTCCCTCACAGCAGGAATGAGCTATCTGGATTCTGCACTAACATACATGTAATAGTACAACAAAAAAGGATCTACCGGTAAGCATGGAAAACATTAAAATATTAAGCTCGATCCTCTCTTGCAAACAAACTTACTAATTAATGAAAAGAAGAGCTGGTCCCTAAAGAATTTTGACATACCCATAATAAACTTAATCAACAAAAATGATCACTTTTTTACCGTAAGAGTTTCTCGAAGAGTGAGATTTGCAAAAAAAATATCTTCTTGCAGTACATAGCAGATTTTCTTCTTCAGCTTTCTGTCCAACTGTTTCCCATTGAGTAAGATTTCACCTTCCTGAGCAAGCAACCTTCCAGCAAGAATGTTCAGCAGCGTTGTTTTGCCAGAGCCTAATTAAGCAGGGAAGAAAGCTTACAAAGTTAACTTGCATGTACATATGACTGTCTACAGCAACAAAAAATAATGGGGTTAGTTTAAAGGGGCTATGTCAACATGGACTTCCACATTCCTTTAAAGGCTTCCAGCCCAAAGAGACACCCGTCATTCAGTTAGGGCTCTAGATGCAATTAGTTATCTGTAATAACACCAAAGAAACTTTCTTATAAGAGCCCGAGAAAATAAATGCCAAATTTCACAAAATGACATCTTATATTTTAATTTTTCGAATTTTAACTGTGTTTTCACAATTCTTGTGAAATTTGTCATTTGTTTTCTTGGGTTCTCATGAGAAATAGTCTTTGGTGTTTTTACATATAAATAATAATTATTTATCTGTAACAACACCAAAGACTATTTCTCATGGGAACCCGAGAAAACAAATGACAAAATTATTATTATTATATAATTATTATATCTATAGCCCTTGAAAATGTAAAAAAGAATGCCATATTGTTTAAATTATTCTGGTACAAGGTTTTTGTCCAATGAAAATTGACATTACTCAATTTCCGGATAGATTCCGTCTTAAAACCATACCTTGCTCAGCTGCACACACCCGCTATTTAGGCCAAATAACGGAGTCCCCTTCTCACCCCCCCCCCACCCCCCCCACACCCC